ACGTGTGCTGTTTCGCTGTTACCGTTAATCAAAGTTGACCAATTTTTGCTCAAAATTTTTCTATGCCATAATTTTATTGAGCAGTGTATTTTGCATGTAATTATATATAATTATATGTGGAACTTTTTTTCTCGGGTACACAAGGTTCTCGCCCAAATTACAGGGATTTAATTCTTTGACATAAAGAAGGACCAACGAATGCATTGTTTCGAACAATGTCATTGCGTTCATACACGATGTAGACTCATATTTTGAAATATAGGAGCGTCGACTCGTTGTATGTGCTTTAACTATAATGATTTTCAAACATTTTTCATGTCCGCTCCTCAATCTTAGAATTCCCATGAAATAAAAAACATTCCTGAGGTTTGGACGTAATATCTACTTAGTATATAGAAATCTGGGTATGACAACGACGATTTTTTAAATAGATATTTCAACATTGAGAATTTGCATCGCAATATCTTAAGGCACGCAAAAGAAAAATAAAGATATTTTTCTTATATAAAATTTAAACTCAAATTATCGATTACGGTCAACAGCTTGGTCTAGCTGTTTCTGAAATTCGGTTACTCGCTTTTTATATCATACATATACACGATGTGGTCTCGAGTTACACGTGTACATACATACTTTGCGCGAGGTCTTACGTTATTTCTTGATTTATAAAATTCACCTCAAAGCTTTTAAAATGCAACACATATTCCAACTGTTATTAATATATATTTGAAATTTATTATTTGTACTATCTGTAAAACAAAATAAAATACAGTGAATCGGAATCGTTGGCTCGCTAACAATAAATAATTCCAACATCATATTAATGCCTATTACACAAATCTAATTATCGCGCGCTAAGCGTCGAACTTACACTACAATGAAGAATGTTGAGCGTATACATACTTCGTAAAGTTATCCCACGATTTTTTTATATATACGTATAAGATAGTATCAAAAATTTCCCAAACTTAATTTATAAAAAAATTTTAGACTTATTCTGTTTACAGCTAACTTCCATTCCCTTCGAAGCATCCTTTTGTGATTTGATATATAGCGCTTCAGCCATGCTTTAAACACTAGAAATCTTTTTTCTGTAACATATGTTCTTCAAAGATAGTCTGCGATTCAGCTTCAATCTTCTGTACTGTCTCGAAACGTCGACCTTCGATAAAACTAGGAAAATCGGCCGCCGATACTTTCAAAACTGCTTTATTAAACTTTTGAATAATAAAGTTCTATACAGTGCTTCAGTGGATTCATGTTTAAAAAAAGACTGAATATCAGACGACGGATACATAAGTCGATTGCGTACAACTTCTGAAAATATTAGAAAAATTGCAAAAATTGTTTGTGAGAACGTGTCAACGACATCATTAGAATTTCCTACGGAGTCTGTTAGGCGATCTTCATTAATGATTTGAATATGCATTACGTTGTTACCAAATTCGTCGTTAGAGTTTCTGACAGGTACGTCACCTTAAAAATACAAGTTTTTAACACAATAAACACAATAGTTTTTAAAAGACAATAACATTTCTATCGTTTCCCGTTTCATCCGTATTCATCAGATTTAGTACTTTGTGATTTCCTTTTGTTTGCAAAAATAAAACTAAAATTTAACTAAAAAAAACGACGTTTCGAGACGGTACAGAAGATTAAGGCCTAATCACAGATAGTGTTTTATAGAAAAAAGATTTTCAGATAGCATTTAAAGAAGCATGGTTGGGTATGCTGTATCAAGTCACAAGGAACTACTTCAAAGAGGATAGGGGTCTATTGTTATAAGGTAAGTCTAATTTTTTATAACGTCCAGGAAATTTTTGATACTCCATATAACTCGTGCATGAAATTCACGTTGTATGAGTTTTTAACAGACGATAGAGTGGAATAAAAGATGTAATTTTGTAATTTCATGAACGCGGTTAATACGATTAGTATCTACTTATAACAGGCTTCACACTTCATATAAATCAAGATATGATCAAAATATGATGTAATATGGCAGCACAAACATCGAAATTATAAATTTTATTTCATTCGATCGTCATTTTTGTAATCTCATTGCAGTATTGCGACGTTTGTAAACACTTTGTCGACTATTTCGCTATTATTTATACTATTGCTCTGCCGACGCTGCAGATCTAATGACAGGTACATGAAATAAATTAGATAACACTTACGTTTATTAAATACGAGCGATGTGATATTAAACACGTCTATAATATTTATGGCAGCATAAATATACGCACGGGGCAATCCGGGCCCGGAATCGTACCGTCCGTCCCCATTCGATAAACATAAACATGACGGATGACGGTCTGAGACGCCCGATACCTTACACAAAAATACAAAAATTTGCCGTCTAGAAAAAGAAAATAATTTTTTATGGTCTTTGACGCGCTGAATCCAAATCTACCAGCCCAAATGTTCTATTACGTTTAAGTTTTTGAGAAAAACGAGATTAAAACTTCAAAAAAAAAAGCGTTTTTTTATTATCTTTTAAAATTTGTAGTTGGTAAATCCGATATACTAGAGTTTTGTTTTATATTTATAAACTAGTACACATCTCTTTTTGTACTTAAAGTGAAATAGGTACATGTTTGATATTTGTCGAAAACAATAAGAAACAAATTCTTTAGAGACTTTGAAAAAATCAAATTAAAGTTTCAACATTATACTTTAAAATAAATATATTGAATGTTACACCGTAGGAATCATCACATATCTAGCGTACCTTGTTTTAGGCGTAAGCGTACGTGTATAGAATATTAGAATGACATAGGATTGTATTAAGATTCATAGCATATCATATTTTTTTTATTTATTAAATTCTTAATTGTTCTCATTTTTATATGCAATAGTTTGTCTGTGAATCTAAATGCAATCCTATAACGTTATTATATAATATCCTATAATGTTACATACATAATATTTATCCAAATTATACTAAAGCGCGCATAGAAGTTTTATGGTTTCTATGATAAAAGATTCAATATTTTTATTTTAAAATGTAACTATTAAATAAATAAATATCTAGTTTGTATTTGTAAAAAATATATATAGATACTTTACTTACTTATCCTTGTCGTGTTACCTAATCTGTTTGTTTTAAAAAGTAATGTTCAAGCTATAATTTGAAGCATTTACAAAGTTTCTAATATATTGAGTACTATAAATTTTCAAACACGTTGAAAACATGTATTAATACATATCACTCACAAATAAAGAATTTGATTTTCAATATGTCTACGAGTACCTGTATCGTTGTACTTGTCACTTATAACAATCCATGACGATAATGTTAGATGGAAGAAACTCTCCGTTTTACGCTTATTGCACAATTTAATAATATTACTAATATCATTACAATCTTCGAAAACAAAAGACGTAGTCTCACTTTGTTTGCCAATTGCGACGTCAAATTAATGCAAAAATACGGGCGTAATAATAAATGCGAACATAGAGCTATCGTGATAAACGTTTGATGAATGTTATCGGATATTGCTGTATGTAAGAACAACAGCCGATTGCACCGATATTGCTTAGCACTAATATCAATTAATTAAACTGCCACTCATTAGGATATCTGATGGATATTATAAATACGGATATTATAAACAATCTGACAAAAAATTTGGCAATGCTTCTATAAAGAAATCGCATTTAACTTAGATCTTTAAAACTATCTTGAAGAAAGAAAGAGTACCCTATGCAAACATATTTTAGAATATAAATTAATCCGTTTAATATTTTAACGAAATAAATTTTAAATAGTTTTTTAATGCTATGGCGATGCAACCGGATATATATTCCGCTATATTCCGTTTGATTCCAAGATGAACCCGCAATTCAGCAGGAATGTCGCGAACTTCTTCATTCTAGCCTACGGAAGTTATACGATTGTTATGATGACAAATAAATAATTTATGTACAAAGCCAGCGAAGCTTTTTGTCGAGTGGATGTGAAGAGGGGGACCGAGGGCAGTGTCGGGTGTGTTCGTTTCCGGCGTTCATTTAATTGCTGGCTCTTCGCTTCGCGTCGAATTGTATCTTGAATGAAGGACGCCAGATCTCGGCAACCTTGCAGTCGAAGTTGCCGTGCGCGTTGTTTTACAATAACCGTTATCACAATATTATCCTATAAAAAGCGGTTGCATTAAGAGAAATTAGCAAGAACCCATTCTGTGAAGTTACACTTATAATCTCCGAAATTAAGGATCAGTATTGGAAACATTGGATTATTTCCCATCTCATTTCTATTTCCTAAGTGGTTTTACTTTCATAAGCCAATAAACAAAATAATCTTTAGAATCCTCATTTAAAAATTTGTTTAAGACACTTCCCCAATTTGAAAAAGTAGGAATTCATTATTTTACAGAATAAACCTTATTAATTTATCGTAATCCACCAATCTTATAGGATGATAGGAAACGATTGTATTATTGAACAAGGCAAGCCTGCTCTGCCTATTAAAACGAAATTATAGGGTTGTTAACTCGACTGGTGGTTGACCCATTTTTGTTCGCAAAGTCGCGACATCATCCTCTATCTGAATTAATAATTTGTATTTCTGCAAAAAAAAGAAACAATTTTATTGAAAGACTAAATTATAAATATCTCTCAGTAAACCTTCTCTCTTAATTTGTTTGTATTTACCGTCCTATTATCGCCTGGTGTAGTCATCCAAGCATAGACCATGTACCCAGGTATGCAGAGCATGGAGGATAGCGCTGTGAACCAGCCTAACACATGCGACCACCACGGGTACTCGTAATCTAGATACTTTATAGGTGTCCATTGAACCAGATTGAAGACAAACACCCCCTAAATTTAAATTAAATGTTGAATATTATAGATATGAAAATTAAATGTATATATTGCTGAAAAAATTTATAGCAGAAAAATTTTAAGCAAAAATGGACCAACTTGGCTGACAATAACTCCGCAAAAAATCACTATAGGACCATGAATTTTTTAAAATTAAAACTTGGAATCTTTACTTTAAGATACTATGTCTCAATTTTAAATTTAATGCACTCCTACCATTGTAAATCCTTAACCCTAGACTACCACATCATATTTGCCACCCAAATCTACCACACTGGGTAAAATTTACCTGGCCTATCTATTTTGTTGCGTAACTTCAGTTCAAACGCATCGATTTAGAACCTTTTTTTTAATCTATACGCCAGACAGTAAGAAAGGCGACTGAATGGATAGTAACATTCAAAGATCTTAAGAACATGAACAATTTGCAAAAATGTAAATCAGCTTTTATATCTTTTCCGAAAAAGGCTAATTTTTCTTTTACATTGCAGTTCTTTTCAGAGACGAATAAAAAAAAGTAAAGCATAGTTTCTAAAAGAACATGAGTGGTATTTTCAAAAGAAAAATACTTCATATGGCTTTACTTTAAAAAACATTTATTTAACCGAGTGAACTAGATGTCGAATTATAGACCGATTGTCGAATTTTACGCGTGGCTGGAATGGTAGTACCAAGTAGAATAACGTGGCTAATTATGATGGAAAGTTATAGAGGACACTTGTAAGTTTGTTCCACCTCCACATCGCGACCCCACTTCTTCAACCCTGTCGGAATGGCACGCACTTCAAAAATGGTGAGGATAAATTTTACCCAGGTGTAGTAGTCTAGGGTTAAATCTGACAGCATATTTGCCATGTTGAAAAGTTTGACGGAATGTACGGACTTGTTAAATTTTTTTGCAGCGGCGTAAAACTCGGACCATTATTCTCTTTAATTTAAAAAAAGCAAGTCACTGCGATTTTTCTTCTCAAAGTTACAGTATTTTTAAGTAACCCTTGTATTTTTGTTATATACTGCCGGCATTGGCATATCTGATGTGCATCACAGAAAAAATGTCGGAATTTGCAAATCGTGCAGTATATGGTGTGTATAAATTTTAGAAACGTGTGTTGCTTGATTACTATATTTGCAGCCGCTTTTTCGTGTTAATGTAGATTTTAATATCTTCCTTGCGACTTTATATTATTCCAGATTTGAAATAAGCTTTTGATAAGTTTCGAGATTTGACATGTTGCCTTGCTAAACCACATGCACGCACGCACACACACGATGTGCAAAATCCGACTTGCAACCTCTCCGTAGTGCATATCGGATAATCAATCCCACAGTAGTACACATGACAAAATGCAAGGGTTACTTTAAAACGCAACTTTAAAATGTAACTTTGCGAAAAAAATCGTAGTAACTTGCTTTTTTTTTAAATTAAAGGAGAAGGCTCGAGTTTCATACCGCAGCAAAGGACATCTTCGAAAAAAATTTTAGCAAGTTGTGCATTCAAACTTTGCAATTTTCAATGTAGCAAACATGCCTTTAGATTTACGGATTTACAATAGAAGTGCATTAAACTTAAAATCGAGAGTATCTTAAAGTAAAAGAAAAGAGATTTCAAGCTTTAATTTTATAAAAATTTATAATTCTACAATAATTTTTCGCGGAGTTATCCGTCAACCAAAAAGTTGGTCAATTTTTGCTCCAAATTTTTCTATGCTATAACTTTTTAAGCAATACATAATATTAATATAATATAATATCTTTAAAAAAAAAGAAAAAGATTACGCCAAGTATATATAAAAAAGTATCGTACATTACATCCTTCTTAAACCAAAAATATTATTTTAACAAATAAAAATTGTCCAAAAACAAAAATGAGATCATACAATTTGCTAAGTATTTGATTAGACATCGAAACAAAAATATTTTTCTAGTAAACCGTTTAACCATTCAAAAGTACATGCAGCAAAAGTTTAATACCACTGTCTTTCCAAATTAATATTTTTAAGTTTCATAAAACAGACTTAAAGTGACTAAAATGACCAATGGAATCACAATGAAGCAAAAACTTGGCGTGCCCGGATTACATTAATATTTAATTAATAAGATGTATATAAAATGCGAGCATGCCAAGTTTTTGCTTCACTGTAATCCCATTGGTCATTTTAGTCACTTTAAGTCTGGTTTATAAAACATAAAAATATTTGGAAAGACAATGACATTAAACGTTCGCTGCATATACTTTTGGATGGTTAAACGGTTTACTAAAAAAATATTTTTGTTTCTATGTCTAATCAAATACTTCGCAAATTGTATAATTTCATATTTGTTTTTGGACAATTTTTATTTGTTAAAATAATATTTTTTGTTTGGGAAGGATGTAATGTACAATACTTTTTTATATACTAGGCGTAATCTTTTTCTTTTTTTTTAAAGAGTTTTGGTCTGTCTCTTATACACATCTCTGAGCGGGCTGGCAA